AGTGCAGACGCTGCCACCACACCCTCAATAAGGAGGCCAGGTGCTGCAGCTGCTCCCAACAGCTGTGGTGGACTCAAAGAGCATAACCCAAGGTACACACTTCCCAGGTACTCACACTTTCACAATGTTTATGGATAAACAAGAAACCCAATACACAAAACCCAACACGATAAAACAAAAATAACCTCAACTGTCAACAAACAACATGGAGGGGAATACCTGCAACCTATCACAAAGAAGCTACTTTCCTTCATATATAAAAGACGCCTACCAATCAATAATATTTACAGAGCACTTACAACGTGGCAGGCATAGTTCTAAGGACTTAACACACTCAAGTTGCCATCACAACCACAACGGTTTTCGTTTTTTGTTTTGTTTTGTTTTTTGTTTTGTTTTGTTTTGTTTTTTGAGATGGAGCCTTGCTCTGTCGCCCAGGCTGGAGTGCAGTGGCCGGATCTCAGCTCACTGCAAGCTCCGCCTCCCGGGTTCACGCCATTCTCCTGCCTCAGCCTCCTGAGTAGCTGGGACTATAGGCGCCCGCCACCTCGCCCGGCTAGTTTTTTGTATTTTTTTAGTAGAGACGGGGTTTCACCGTGTTAGCCAGGATGGTCTCGATCTCCTGACCTCGTGATCCACCCGTCTCGGCCTCCCAAAGTGCTGGGATTACAGGCTTGAGCCACCGCGCCCGGCTGTTTTTTGTATTTAGTAGAGACGGGGTTTCACCGTGTTAGCCAGGATGGTCTCGATCTCCTGACCTCGTGATCTGCCCGTCTCGGCCTCCCAAAGTGCTGGGATTACAGGCGTGAGCCACCGCGCCCGGCCTTGTTTTTTTTTTTTGATAGATTCGCTGTCTCCCAGGCTGGAGTGCAGCGGCGCAATCTCGGCTCACTGCCGCCTCCGCCTCCTGGGTTCAAGCGATTCTACTGCCTCAGCCTCATGAGTAGCTGGGACTATAGGCATGAGCCACCACGCCCGGCTAATTTTTGTATTTTAACAGAGGCGGGGTTTCACCATGTTGGCCAGGATAGTCTCGATCTCCTGACCTCGTGATCCACACGCCTCAGCCTCCCAAAGTGCTGGGATTACAGGCCTGAGCCACTGCACCCAGTCAACAGTTTTTAAAAGGTAAGAAAACTGAGGTGCCAGGAGGCTGCCTGCCCAAGGTCACACAGGTAAATATTAGAGCTAAGGCCCAGCGAACGGCAGAATGGCTCAGGGGCCATGGTGTTAAGCATGGTACCCTTCAACCTTGGTAAAAAAGGGATCAAGAACTTGCCAGAAATATGTGCCTAACCAGGTATGGTGGTGCATACCTGTAGTCCCAGCTACTCTGGAGGCTGAAGTGGGAGGATCTCTTGAGTTCAGGTGTTCAAGGCTGCAGTGAGCCATGATTATGCCACTGCACTCCAGCCTGGGCAAGGGAGTGAGACCCAGTCTCTTTTAAAAAATATATTAAAATAGGCCCGAAGCGGTGGCTCCTGCCTATAATCCCAGCACTTTGGGAGGCTGAGGCGGGCGGATCAGCTGAGGTCAGGAGTTCTAGACCAGCCTGACCAACACAGAGAAACCCTGTCTCTACTAAAAGTACAAAATTAGCCGGGCGTGGTGGCACATGCCTGTAATCCCAGCTACTCGGGAGGCTGAGGCAGGAGAATTGCTTGAACCAGGGAGGTGGAGGTTGTGGTGAGCCGAGATAGTGCCATTGCACTCCAGCCTGGGCAACAAGAGCGAAACTCCATCTCAAAAAGACATATATATAAAATACAGAAATATATTGTGAAGGCTGGGCACGGTGGTTCATGCCTGTAATCCCAGCACTTCGGGAGGCCGAGGCGGGAGAATCGCTTGAACCCAGGAGGCAGAGGTTCCAATAAGTCAAGATCGCGCTATTGCACTCCAGCCTGGGTGACAGATTGAAGCTCCATCTCAAAAAAAAAAAAAAAATACATTGTACAAAGGACAAGTGGTATTTCTAACATTCCCATGCTCAGATAGTGAAGCTCATTCATCACCAATGAAAAAGAAAACCGACCAGGCGGGGTGGTTCACTCCTGCAATCCCAGCACTTTGGGAGGCCGAGGCCGGTGGATCATGAGGTCAGAAGTTCGAGACCAGGCTGGCCAGCATGGTGAAACCCTGTCTCTACTAAAAATACAAAAATCAGCTGGGTGTGGTGGCGGCGCCTGTGCTTGGGAGGCTGAGGCAGGGGAATTGCTTGGACCCGGGAGGCGGAGGTTGCAGTGAGGCAAGATCGCGCCACTGCACTCCATTCTGGGTGAAAAGAAGAAAACTCCATCTCAAAAAAAAAAAAAAAAAAAAATAGCAAAACCATAAGAGACATCATTTTCCACTTCTCACATGAGCCACGATGGAAACCTCTGAGAGCCGCCCTCCTGGCAAGGAGCTAGGGAGACATGTGCTTGGAGTCAGGCTGAGAGACCACTGGCATTGCCTCTCTGGAGGTCAATTTGGCAATAACTACCCAAATTAAAAACCAGCATCCCTCCCACCCAAGGATTCTACTTCTAGGGATCCAGTCACAACCACCCTGATGTACCAGCATCCCAAAATAACCCCATGTCCCACCTACAGGGCCTCGGTGAAATCAGTTATGGAATCTCGGGCAACGGGCACCCCATGGCTGAAAATCACCACGGCGGCCCCAATCAGGACAGCGGCGAGCACCCCCACAATGGCTCCCCCAGCCCAAGAGCACTCCCTCTCACAGCCCTCACAGCCCGGGCTTTCTGCTTCACAGAGGAAGAAACAGGGCCGCAAACTGAAGAAGCTGTGTGTGCACGTGGCAGCCAGGACTGGGCCCCTCATCAGCGTCAGCCGGGCTCTCGACCACTGCGCTTACAGATGGTGACCTCTAACAGAGAGGGGTAAACTTTTCAAGGGATTTTTTTGTTTTGTTTTGTTTTTTTGAGACAGGGTCACACTCTGCTGCCCAGGCTGGAATGCAGTGGCAAGATCACGGCTCACTGCAGCCTCAAACTCCTGGGCTTGATCAATCCTCCCACAACCTTCAGAGTAGCTGAGACATGCCACTATGCCTGGCTAATTTTATTTCTTTTTTTTTTTTTTAAAAAGAGCAAGTCTTGCTATGTTGCCCAGGCTGGTCTGTCCTGGCCTCCCACAGTGCTAGGGTCACAGGTGTGATCCACTGTGCCCGGCCGAGGGGTAAACTTTCTGATATGGATTGAGCCAGCACAGAACCTTCCCCAGGCTGTACTCTTTCAGAGACAGGGTCTCGCTCAGTCGCCCAGGCTGGATGGAGTGCAGACTATACTCTTAAGTGACAAAATTCACGGTGCAGAGAGGTGGGTGTGGTTGGAAGGACACACATGAACACATCATCTTGTAAGGACAGCTGTCCCCAGTGGCACAGAAACAACTAAGGCAGGTGCCTGAGAGCGGAGGACAGCAGGACTCCATCCAGGGGGCTGGACTCTTACCTTTACCACACTCCCTCCTGTAATGTTTGCGGATTTTCTTTTATCACTCAAATTGTTCATTACCCATTTTTAAAAGCCAATTATTTTTTCCTGGGTTTGGGTGCCTGCCTCAAACATTGCCTTACCGACACAGGGCAACAATCCCCGCACCTGTGGGGCGAGGGCAGGCTGAGCTGCAGCTCCAGCAGAGCCTGGTGCCCGGAGACAGGAGCGCCTGCAGCAGGCCGCTCTAAGTGCTTCCTGAGTAGAGGAAGCCACAGTGTTGCCAACACTGGAGGAAGTGGCAGATGCCCACAACCAGGTGTGTGTGGCCGACTGGGATGGAGCGGGGGCTGGGGATACTGGCCCTGGGTCTGTGGGGGTCATGCAGACAGTCACAGGGCCTGGCCTGGAGATGCCCAGGACTGGACCTGGGGAGCCCTGGAGAGGAGCAGGAGGCAGCGTAGCCCAGGGTGGAGGGGGACTCCTCGGAGTCACTGCCTGGCCAGGGACAGCTGCCCACTCCTTGCTGGCTCCCAGCGCCATGACGCATGTCCAGGCTGTGGCCCAGGCAGGAGGCTTCCAAACATGGGGAGGATGAGGAAAGAAGAGGAAGGGAGGGAGGAAAGCCGGGAGAAAAGGGGTGGGAAGAGGGCAGGAAAAGCAGCGGGAGGGGTGGCCCGGTTCCAGGACACAGTGTGCCTGGGTTTCCAGGTACTTGTTGGACCTGGGCCCTCCTCACCCGACACCTTGTGACAAGCCTCGGTCCCCAAGGCCACAGCAAAGCTCTGACAGGCGGAGGGAGGAGGCTACCAAAACACAGCCCGCCAGCCCTTCCCTCAGCCAGGGGCTGGGCCCTGGGCTCAGTAAACAGGTCGCAGAGCCATTAGTCAGCACTTTGGTCGGGCGGATCTCCCGCCTCAGGTTCTTGGTCCCTAGGAGGGCACCCTGGCTCCCACAGCCCCAGCCTGGCCTGCCCTGAGCCCCGGGACATGGGGGCAGCATGAAAGCCAGCTGGTCCCACCGCCTGCATCCTGGGGCCAGCCGGGCCTGAGGTCATCTCCTTGGCCAGCCAGCGGCAGCCGCCTGTGCCCGGGCTCGGCCCTGACTGCCAGCGAGCAGGAGTCTCCGGCGGCCCCTCCCCCGCCCTGTCTGACGCAGAGCAAGGCCGGCCAATGCCGGCCGCAGGAGCAATGTCAACAAACACACGGCCTAGACAGGTGGGCCAGGCCGGCAGTGCTGCCAGGACCTGCCTGGGACGCCGGACTCAGGCAGGGCCCCTAGGACTGACACCCGGCGGGGAAGGGATGCCTGGTCAGGAGAACTCAGCCCTGCCCTCGGGGCGCCCTGCGGCCCAGACACCCCCTCCCCGGTCTCACAGCTGGGGAAGTCACAGCAAGAGCCAGCCCCAGCCCAGGCCTGGACCCAGGGTGGAGTCTCCAGGGGCCCAGTAGACCCCAGCCTGGACAGGCTCAACACCAGTGCTCACCAGGGGATCCAGCACCTGGGGCCACAGTCCCCCATCCCCGTCCCCGGCAGACAGCAGCCCGGAGGCCTTACCTGGAAGTCGTACAGGGCCACGATGTTTTCATGTTTCAGTTCCTAGGACAGAAACCCAAGTTTCTTATCAGTGTGGGGAGGGGGGCTCGCCCTCGCCCACACACCCTCCCCAAGCACTAGCTCACCTTCAGGATTTTGATTTCCTTCCCCAGCAGGGTCTGAGATTTGGCGAGGTTCTTCTTGTTAATGCACTTGACGGCGACCTCCAAATCGTGCTTCTGAAAGCCAAACGTGCAACTTCAGGGCCAGGGCTGCCCCTCGCAGGCCTCCCCCAGACCCCACACCGCACAGGTGGGACCCTGAGATGATCCCGGTTGGGTATCCCGGGACTGGAAGGCCGAGTGGGGAGCCAGGTTGAGGATCGGGCTGGGGGTCCTGGGGTAGGGATCCAGCCTGGAAAGCCAGGCTGTGGGACAGGGCGCGGGGTGTCCCGGGGTAAGGGTTTGGACAGGAAAGTCGTGCTGGGGGTCTCGGAGTGGGGATCTGGGCTGGCAAGCCAGGCAGTGGATCCTGAGGTGGGAGTCGGCCTGGAAAGCCCGGCAGGGGATCTCGGGGCGGGAGTCTGTACTGGATAAGTCGGGCTGGGGGTCGCGGGGTAGGGATCCTGGGGTGGGGGTCGGCCTGGAAAGTCGGGCGGGACTCTCGGGCGGCGTGGGGGGGGGGGCCGTCCCGGGATAGGAGGGAATCTCGGGGCGGGGATGCCGGGGCAGGGGATCCCGGGCCGGACGGGGGCCTCACCTCGCGGTGGCGGCCCTTGAAGACCACCGCGAAGGCGCCGTGGCCGATCAGATCCTTGCGGGAGAACTCGAACTTGCCCACGGTCTCTGTGCCGCCGCGGCCGGGCTCCATGGCGCGGGCGGGCCGGGGGCGCGGGGCCGGGGGTGGCGGGCCGAGGCGCGGGGGACTCAGGCGGAGGCGCGGGCCGGGACGGGCGGGCCGGGGGCGCGTGGCCGGGGGCGCGGGGCCGGGCGAGGGCGCATCTCCGGGGCCGCGCGCCCCATCGGGCAGGCCGGGGCCGGGTCCCAGCCCCGCGGGCCAGGCGGGGTCCGAGGGTCGCGCTTCCACCGGCGCCTGTGCCGCGGCACTCTTCCCGGGCTGCTAATCCGAATCCAGATCCGACTCCGACTCCGACTCTGGCTCCAACTGGGGCCCGGCTCGGCCCCAACGGAGAAACAAAAGAGCCGCGGCGCCCGGGCCTCACAGCCTGAGACGCCCGCGCAGCCGCACTGCGCGCCGGGCCGGGGGGCGGGGATGGGGCGGGGCCTGCGGGACCGGGCCGGACTGGGCGGCAGAGCCGGGCGTGACCAGCCAGCGGGGGGGCGGGGAATGGGGCGGGGTATGGGCGGGGAATGGGGCGGAGTATGGGGCGGGGAACGGGGCGGGGAATGGGGCGGGGCCTGTCGCGCGGGTGGGCGGCTGGGCCAGACCCTCGTGGGGTCGGGTGGGCTGGGAGTGGGTGGGGCCAACAGCGGACCCGTCCGGGTGAGGGCAGAGAGGAACGCTGACCTGGGAGCGGGCCACGGGGATCCGTGTTGATTCCTTGCTCCACTCCCTGCCACGCCCCTTCCCCGCCCCACTTCTTGTCTGCTTCCCTCCATCCCTTCCCCTCTCTCCGTCCCCCTCCCTCCTTTTCCCCCTCCCTCCTTTTCCCCCTCCCATCACCTGTCTCCCTCCCTGCCCCCTACCCTCCGCCCCCTCCCATGCCTTCACCACTGCTCCCCTCCCGCCCCCACTGCCTGTGCTCCTCCCTCCTGTCTCCCCTCCCTGCTCCCCTCCCTCCAGCTCCCTGTTCCCGTTCTACAGGAGAATGGAGAGCAGGCGTGGGAAATGTACCCAAAACGGGGGACTGCGTAGAATTAATTCTTAGAAATAGAATGGCTGCGTTAGAGGTTACGTACTTAAAGTTGCGTTCCATAATGCCAAATTGTAAAAAAAAAAAAAAAAAAAAAAAAACTCGTAGACCAAAAAGTTGTCACCAAAACCTACGACATAGCCCATAAATCGGCTGGGCAGGAAAGGTTAGCTAGATGGGCTGTGCATCGGTCCTATGGAACAGTGCACAGAGGTAAATATACCTGTGCTCAAGGGTGAGTTCTTCAAAGATTGTAATTAAGTAAAAGCAAAATACGGAACAGGGCACTGTACTGTCCGTTGTTTGTTTTGTTTTGTTTTTTGAGACGGAGTCTCGCTCTGTCGCCCAGGCTGGAGTGCAGTGGCCGGATCTCAGCTCACTGCAAGCTCCGCCTCCTGGGTTCACGCCATTCTCCTGCCTCAGCCTCCCGAGTAGCTGGGACTACAGGCGCCCGCCACCTTGCCCAGCTAGTTTTTTGTATTTTTTAGTAGAGACGGGGTTTCACCATGTTAGCCAGGATGGTCTCAATCTCCTGACTTCGTGATCCACCCGTCTCAGCCTCCCAAAGTGCTGGGATTACAGGCGTGAGCCACCGCGCCCGGCCCTGTCTGTTGTTTTAAGAAAGCCATAGGAGTTGGGTGTGTGTGTGTGTGTGTGTGTGTGTGTGTGTGTGTGAAACGCCTGGATGTGTACATGATCGTTCCTAACTATAATGTCCGCTAACTCATCACTTAGCCCAAGCAGTGCTCTTTCCAGCTATTAGTGCATTCATTCAGTGATTCCACGAGGCACTTGCTATTATATCCCTATTTTACCGATGAGAAAATCAAGGCCCAGAAAAGTTAGGGAGTGTGTCCAAACTCACGCTGCCCGCAGCCAAAAGAGCCCGGTGGCTCACTCACAGAAGACACAGTCAACAGCGATTGCGCTGGTGGGAAGACTGGGGAAGACTCAGTGCTGTTCACCGGACACATTGTGTGCTAGTTTGAATGGCTTTCACCACGTGCAACCGCTGCTTTTGCAAATGCATGATTCTAAACAATGCTCACCACCCCAGCCTTCAGCACGGTCCCAAAGGAACAGCCCAGAAGCACACACTTCAGCCAGGACCCTCCATGCTGCCTCCCAGAGCAGCCCAGCAGCCTGATGCCGACCCTGGGATGGGTCAGCAAGTCCTGGATGCCTTTTACCTGCACTCAGTTCATCCTCCAGGCCCCAGGACACACAGACCCTGCCCCTGGGCTGGGGGCCAGAAGCCACCGAGCTGGAAGGCACAAGAGGTCTCCTGGCCCACGATGTCTGTTTTCCAAATGAAGAGGTTCCCCAGTGCCCTGTGGTCAGCCATAGCATTCACTCACGTCCTGGTTCATCGAGCGAGTGTCTTCTGCACACCGGCCTGCCGGGAGAGCAGACGCTGCGAGGTAAGTGCTGCAGTTGACACAGTGAGAACAAGACCCACCTGCAGGAGCTTCCAGCGCTTAGGGGTGGGGGACAAGAAGAGCAATAATTGTACCATCCGTGGCAAAATTGCAACAGAAAAAATGAGTGAACAGGTGGCTAAGTGCTGAGGTGATCAGGGCACACCGTAAGGGCCGAGATTGCTAGAGATGGCAAAGCCTGTACTCCTGGAAAGACCCAGGGAACCCCAGCCCAGTCCACCCTGGCCTGGAAAGTCAAGCTAAGGGGGTCTTCACCCCAAACGCAAAGAAATACCCAGGAAGAGTTTAGGAGAGGGTGAGATGGCAAGATGGGATTTGCATTTGGAAACCGTTACTAGGCCCACCAAGAGAGGACGTGTTTCTTTTTTGTTTTGTGCGGTCTTATTAAATGTTTTATTCTTTTTATAACTTTTAGGTTCAGTGGTATGTGGGCAGGTTTGTTATACAGGTAAATTAGGGTTCACGGGGTTTGATGAACGGATTATTTCATCACCCAGGTTATAAGCAGAGTGCCCGATAGAGTACCCCATAGGTACTCTGCTTTTTTTTTTATCCTCTCTCAGCCTCCCAAAGTGCTGGGACTGCAGGCGTGAGCCACCACGCCCAACCCATCTTAACCATTTTTAAGTGCACAGTTCAGTGACATTAAGTACAATCACATTGTTGTGGGCCGGCTGTGGTGGCTCACGCCTGTAATCCCAGCACTTTAGGACGTTGAGGCAGGAGAAATTATTTTTTGATCCTCTCTCCCTCCTCCCACCCCCGCACCCTCAAGTGGGACCTGGTGTCTCTTGTTCTCTCCTCTGTGTCTGTACATTTTCAATGTTTACCTCCCACTTATAAGTGAAAACATGTAGTATTTGGTTTTCTGTTACTGTGTTAGTTCGCTTGGGATAACGGCCTCCAGCCCCATCCATGTTGCTGCAGAGGACATGATCTCATTCTTTTTTATGGCTGTGTAGTATTCCATGGTGTATATGAACCAGTTTCTTTTTTTTTGAGACAGGGTCCCACTCTGTCACCCAGGCTGGAGTGCAGTGGCTTAATCTCTGCTCACTGCAGCTTTGACTGCCTGGGCTTAGGTGATCCTCCTGCCTCAGCCTCCCGAGCAGCTGGGATTACAGGTGCATGCCACCACACCCCACTAATTTTTGTATTTTTTGTAGAGATGAGATCTCACAATGCTGCCCAGGCTGGTCTCAAACTCCTGGGCCCAAGTGATCCTCCTGCTTCGGCCTCCCAAACCGTTGGGATTACAGGCGTGAGCCACTACGCCCGGCGGAGGGCTTATGTCTCTAATCCCAACGCTTTGGGAGGCCAAAGCGGGCTGATCACCTGAGGTCAGGAGTTCGAGACCAGCCTGGCCAACATGGAGAAACCTCGTCCCTGCTAAAAATACAAAATTAGCCGGGTGTGGTGGCGCATGCCTGTAATCCCAGCTACTCTGGAGGCTCAGGCAGGAGAATTGCTTGAACCCAGGAGGCAGAGGTTGCAGTGAGCCGAGATCGCGCCATTGCACTCCAGCCTGGGAGACAAGAGTAAAACTCCACCTCAAAAAAAAAAATTAAAAATTAAAAATTAAACAACAGACATAAGCCACCACACCCAGCCTCAGAATGTGTTTGTTTTTGTTTTTCGTTTTGTTATTTTGAGGCGGAGCTTCGCTTTTTTCACCCAGGCTCGAATGCCATGGTGTGATCTCGGCTCACCGCAACCTCCACCTCCCAGGTTCAAGCGATTCTCCTGCCTCACCCTCCCAAGTAGCTGGGATTACAGGCATGTGCCACCACACCCGGCTAATTTTTGTATTTTTAGTAGAGATGGGGTTTCGCCATGTTGGCCAGGCTGGTCTCGAACTCCTGACCTCATGATCCACTCGTCTCAGCCTCCCAAAGTGCTGGGACTACAGGCGTGAGCCACCACACCCGGCCCATCTTAACCACTTTTAAGTGCACAGTTCAGTGACATTAAATACAATCTCATTGTTGTGGGCCGGCCGTGATGGCTCACTCCTGTAATCCCAGCACTTTGGGAGGATGAGGCAGGAGAATTGCCTGAGCCCAGGAGTTTGAGACCAGCCTGGGCAACATGGTGAAACCCTGTCTCTATAAAAACATTGTTGTATAACTGTCACCACCATCCAGCTCCAGAACTCGTTCCGCTTCCAAAACTGAAACTCGTACCTGTTGAAGACTCATTCCTCATTCCCCTCCTTCAGCCCCTGGCACCCACTCTTCTACTTTCTGTTTTTTGAAACAGAGTCTTGCTCTGTCACCCAGGCTGGAGTACAGTGGCATGATCTCCGCTCACTGCAACCTCCACCTCCCGGGTTCCGGCGATTCTCCTGCCTCAGCCTCCTGAGTAGCTGGAACTACAGGTGTGCGCCATCACACCTGGCTAATTTTTGTATTTTTAGTAGAGATGGGGTTTCGCTATGTTGGCCAGACTGGTCTCAAACTCCTGAGCTCAGGTGATCCGCCCGCTTCGGCCTCCCAAAGTGCTGGGATTACAGGCGTGAGCCATGGAGGAGGGCCCACTCTCCTGCTTTCTGTCTCTGTGGTTCGACTCCTCTAAAAACCTCATATACATAGAA